ATTTTTTTGAGTTCTGTATCTTTTCTGATAAATTAATACAATTTTTTATTTTCTTGACTAATTCATCAGTCGCAACATTAGGATTATCAATCACAAAAATTTCATTCCAATTTTCTTCTTTAGCTGCTTTTTGTAATTTTCTATAATCCATCATTTTGAATTTCTGCATCTGTTTTAAATTTCTTAATTTGTTAATTGATATGAGCAACGGATAATGATCCGTAAATGAGCTAATCATTTTTGCAGTTCGTATGCCAATGTTTTCAGACCTCACGAATACATTATCTATACATGTTCCAGTGTTGTTATCATTAGATGGTCTAGTTATACCCTGAAAACCTGGAATGTGGCCATTCTCTAGTAAGATGCTTAATAGCTCTTGAATGAAGCTATCAATTGTGAGAAGGTCTATATTATAGTCACCTATCAGGAAATGGTTTTTAGTATTTTTCTTTATATTCATGTATTCATTTATGTTTTGAATAAATTCAGTTTTCGGCAAATCATGTGATCTATAAATAGCTGAGATTTCTATTGATTTATTATTTTCCAATTTTATGCAAGAGTTAAGTATCTTAAGTTTGTTTACTTCAATTATATTTGTATCTTCATCTATACTGTTATGAATATAGATCACCACTCCATCAGATTTATTGATTTTACTATTATTGTGGTAAATTTTGTACTCGTCTAGTGCGAAGTATTTATAGCAATCTAAATTCCAAGTCTCAGTGCAAATGATAGTACTAGGTTTGTTATCTTTCAATCTTTGTAGTAAAATTTCTAGTCTAAGAAAGTTTGCATTCAAACTCCTTATATTAACGTATAGTATATATTCTTTATTATCTTTTATATACTTATCTAAGGTGGAATAATCGTCTAGAGTTATTTCTTGTTGAGTATATTGTTCTTGTATTTGATTAATCAAATTTATATTATTTTCCATCAAATTAATTCTTCGGACTGACAACAGCACCCGTAGTATTAACAGTCGTAGCAAGTGTCAATGGTGTAACATCTACTTTACTGAGATACTTTGGTAATGTAGGCGGTATTGGATAATCTGTTGTTGATAGTATCTTTTTAATTTTATTTTTTAACAATTGACATTGATGCGAGTCATTGGCTACATGTTTCACATCTGCATACTGCTTGTTGAGGTAAACACAATTTGCACAGCACAATTCTGATGTATTCTTGCAATTGATTGAGTAGTGATCACCCGCACATTTTAAACATATTTTTTTGTTGGTACATTTACTTCCACTGTGTCCAAATCGTGCACATTTATAACATGGTTGAAGATTTATGTTATCATATGCTTTACAATTCTGGTATCCAATACAAATTCTTGATCTATTATCTTTTATATGTTTATATAACTCTGATGGTACCTCAATCAACACACTTTCCTTATTGGTTTTAGCACTTCTGTATGAATGCATTACAGTACATTTTTCTTTAAATCCATTAAAGTTTCTTGTATTGATATCTTCTTCAAGATCTTTGCTATGCTAGAAATTATTAAATATTGTTTAGAAGAATTAAATATAAATTATATTTTATTGGGAAAACAGATTTTAGAAAATATTGACAGTTAGCAAGTGGGTAGTACAATATTTCTATTCAACTTTATGAATGCGAAAAAATAATTAGAATACAATCGCTAATGTCATTAAAATCTAATTGTTATGGAGCTTTCACAGGTGTTCGTTTTATGAGGTTGATAATATTCCGTCAATTGAAGATGCAACTGTAGTTCAATATCGGTTTGGTTCACTCCCATATGTGACTTTACTGAATTTGAAATTGAAATTGTAATGCCAGAAATGCCAGTAATTACTTACTTAGCAGGCTACTGTTGTTATATTGTATTAACAAAAGTTTGATGTGACACATGCAAGTAAAACATAATATATAAAGACGATCTTGTTGTTGAAGACACTGACAAGAAATTTGAGCAATGAAAGTCTTAAATTTCCTAAAGACTAAATCACAAATATAGTTTTCCATGTGTATTTAATATTCAATAAAATTTTACAAGACGACCATGAGAAAAATTTCTTAAATATTTTTAACAAAAAATGTTTCTATTAGCAGTAGTATTATAATATTTTTCAAAAAAAAAAAATTATTGAATTTCTCAGAATGTAAACTTCATAATTCCGAATTTATTATCGTACGGTCTGTAATAAATACTCTTTTAAATAATTACTGTGTGAAGAGGAATAAGAAAAAATTAGATAATCTTACATCATAAACACTTACATACAGTTTTCAGTATAATTAATCACAATTTTCTTAAAAAATAACAGAGAGAAATCAGCATTTTGCGCTTTTATATAGATAGATAGTATTTGCTTTGAAACTTTGGTTTTTTTCGCAAAAAAAATCAAACGGTGTGCGACTAAGGGCTTAGTTCACGTCTGGCAGTCCCGTTTCTACTGGAAGCCCTTAAAAAACGATAAAGTGATTTGAATTATGGGTTTTAATAAAAGAGCATTCGCATTGATTGAGCGCCACTTCAGTTTGTACTGCTCGCCTTCTTCTGGTGACGTTACGCCTCTGGCGTGGACTGATCATGACTACTCGTCGATCTCTCGTTTTGGAAATATGTACTGTTAAGTATATTCATAGTCTGAACGATATGATATTAGTTTATAAGATACTAAATGGCCTGGTTTTTTTATTACCTTATACCTCAGAATTTTCTTTAAGAGTAAATAGTTACAACATGAGGAACACTACTAGATTGAATGAACGAGGTAAAGTACAATCTTCTATAATACTGTTTTCGCACGTTTGAATAGGAATTGGAATGCCCTTGATCGTTAAATTAAATGTTTGAGGACTATGCTTAGTTGTGACTGTTTTCTCTTAGCTTCTATTTCATCATCAGCATAAGGTACCAGTACTAAGACTGGTTGGATACGTACCTTCACTTTCCTGTTCTAAGCTAATCTTTGCATTTCCCTAAAATTAGAACATCCTACATCCTTAACTATCTGCGAACAATAATTTAATCTAGGTCTACCTCTAGTCCTCTTAACTTCTGCTTCTGCCTTTAGTGACTATACCTTCATGCCTGAGAAGGTTTCCTGCCAACCTATTTCGCCTATTTCTTATTGACTTCCATAGAGTCTTCTGTTCTCCTATTCTTTCTAATACCTCTTCATTTCTAACCTTTTTCTATCCACCGTATCATTCGCCTGTAATACCACATTTCGAACGCTTCTAACTTTTCTTTTCCGCCGCGCCCACTGTCTATGTTTCGCAAACAATTTCAATGTAAATTCATTAATACACAATGATATCTGATCTAAATAATACTTGAAATAACACTGCTTTGAACAAACACTTAAATTGAAAAATAACTACTTAATAGCTAACACCATATCATCTCGATCGATGTTACTCATATCATCTCCACACCGCAACTACGTGCCCATTTGCAATTCCTCTGAAGTTACCAGAACAGGTATAAACTACAGTAAAAAAAGGTAGCAATCATTTTTATTTTTTTTTTATCAACACATTTAATTAGCATTCAACTTACTTTCCAATACATTTTCATTCGTTTAGATTTATTTTTAATCTACTGATCAGTACTTTGTTCTGCTAGTCTGAAGCCAGCAGAACATAAGATATTTAAAAAGGCAGCAACAATTCTTTTAAGCAAGTACACCCGTCATAATACTACAGGAGTAACTATATTCACCCAACAGAAACCATATATGTTACTGGTAAACCGGTTTATAATAATTATAATAGGAAATTACCGGCGAAACGTCCCGGTCCCGAGCTCCAATGGCTTAAATATTATTCCCGCCGTGTAAATTCCTGCGTGTCCAAATTCAAATCCAGAACCAATCATAGTGGAGAGATCAGTCACGTCATTTAAAACAACGCGACGGAACGGAAGGAGATTTGGGGATTTACCACTTTCCGATGCAAAATGTCGCAAATTTTCCCTTAAAATCCTCAAATTAATTTAAAAACGACCTCGTCAGTGCCGACTGATCATTATTACTGACCTTCACCCCCTCTATGCGGTGCCAAACTTCTTGTGTTCCGTACAGTGGCAACAATTGTATTAGCATGTTTCATCACTTGATGGATGCGATAATAAAGGTCGATAAAATAATGTGACTATCAAAGTGGCGACTGTTCTCAATCATTGACGGCTTGTTAACTAGGATAGTTTTTGTGCATACATTTTACACCCCTTACGTTGTGGCACTATTACGAGATGCACTCTTCAGTTCAGATGGTACCTTTTAAATATGGTCAGAAATAGTGTATAACATTGAGCTTTTACATATTGAACATAAATAGAATCGTTTGGACATATGAGAATAGTTAGAGATAAAAAAAAAGATGTAAAAGGTATTGTACAGCGCAAAAGAAACATAGTAATCAATGAAACATACAGTAAACTATTCCTCTATTTTTAGATGCCCTTTATATATGTATATTAAAGTAAAACGTCACTCACTCATTCACTGACTAACTAAACACAGTATCTTGAAAACTGCTTGGCCTATTAAGTTTGACAAGTAGGTAGTTTATAGGTAGGCGTTATCAGTTAGGAACGGATTTTGCGAGAGGACCGAATTAAGGAAGTTTAAAGGCTATCGTAACTTTATAAAAAAGTCCTATTCCTTGCTGCTAAGACAAGAGTTTGTCATTTTAGTACGTTATACGAGTATCATGGAGATGTTTTCTAGAAGTAACTGCTGTACACCACCGACAATAGTTGCCACCGTCCAAAGTAGAACGGTCTGAGGAAGTAAACCTATAAAGAGACAAAAGTAAATCTTAATCGTCGGTCAGACATTATATTACTCTTGTGTGATTTCTTATAAACTGTGCTATAAATGATGGAATAAAATAAACCTTATGAGTTTACACATTTGTACCAAGTGTCTTACCATTTTACTATTAATTGCTTCGTAATTTGTTTCAAAACAAAAATTCTTAAAAATTGTTTTGGTTTTAAGAAATCCCATCTATTATATGATAGAAAAGGAGAGGAACATTACAATCTAATTTCAGCAGTTCACAAGTCCATTAGGAATTCCGATGCCAATGCAGCTTTATATTGGACAACAAGAATGATTATGAGCGGGGAAGATCCTTTGTTTATAGCAAGAAGAATGGTTAGGGCAGCGTCTGAGGACATAGGTAAGTGCACTATCGTTGTTGTACTACTATTATTTAATTCCTTAAGTAAAAATAGCGGTATCAGTTGACTACAAACTTATCACAATTAGTAATAGACAATATAAAATGTATTTTCATTATTGTTTTTTCAGGTAATGCCGATCCCAATGCTCTTCAGTTAGCTGTGAGTACTATGCAAGGATGTCAATTATTAGGAATGCCAGAAGCTGATTGTCTTCTTGCACAATGTGCCATTTATTTGGCCCGTGCGCCTAAATCTAGAGAATCCGATACTGCTTTGATGGCTGCCAAGAATTTGATAACTAATTGGAAAGGTGCACAGCCGCTTGTGCCACTGCATCTTCGCAACGCTCCCACTAAGTTAATGAAAAACTTAGGTAAGTATGGCTAATTTTTTAAATTTAATATAACTTGTTTGTAATGAGCAGGTTACGGAAAGTTTACACCAGGACAGACATCCTGTATGCCTGAGGGATTGGAAAATGTGTGTTTCTTTGAGTAGTTTTAAGGCTTTTATGTTATACAGTTATTTTAACATGGTATAAAATTTTATAANTTTATTATATTATACTCCATATTTTCTTTCTGTTTATCCAGTCAAAGGCTGCCTTCATATCAGCAAAGAATAGAAAGATTTGTCCTTCTTTAATGACCGTCTTTACCATGTATATTGCATCTAGTGTCCTTCTCCCTTTTCTGTAACCTATTCGTGTATTGTAATGTTCGTGGGTTTAACAAAATTAACTTCTTAGACTGATAACGATAAAAACCCTTTATTGACACCAATTATTAAAGAACTTAAAAACATTATTAAATTATTACTAAACTTAGGTCATGAATTATTCTATTTATTTACACTACTGTTGATTTATGGTTTGTTTATTTGTAACACCAAAACAAAATTGCACAATCTAAGTACAATAGACAGAATAAAAATTAAATTATTTTGTTTAGGCCGCATTTACAACATAATCCCATTTTTTTAAAACTTATATTGATGTTGTATGAACTCTCAAATGGCTTCAGCAAGATGACCGAACATATACCTTGCGTTAAGTACATCATTACTTAAAACTATTGATAAACTTGATATACAATGTACAAACAATTCTATGCACCTTTTAACACAGAATTCCTTACATAATTCAAATTTTTTTACTAATTTTTAATTCGGTAAATCATATCATTTTTGATATAACCATTTAACCTTGAGAAGCAATCCACATAGCAATTATTTTTATATTTAATATGTACAATTTCATAATTATATCCTGATAACATAACCGCCCGATGCTGCAGTTTATTTACTAGTTACTAGCTGACATACAAGATAAATCGCGTTTGTCATCAAAGATATAGACTAATGGCTTATGATGTGTTTCCAAAATAAATTTAAACCCAGAAATATATTGATGGAAATTCACGTATGGGGAAAAATGCTTATAATTTCTTTCAGCTGTGGTTAATATGCGAGACGCGTATATAGTGTAATGTTCGTGGGTTTAACAAAACTAACTTTTAAGACTCACAACGACAAAAACTATTTATTTACAAAAATTATTATTGAACTTAAAAACACTATTAAATTATTACTAACTTATGTCATGAATTACTCAATTTATTTACAGTACTCTTGATATATCACTATTCACTCCGTTATTTATTTCACTTTTATCAGTGTCAATTTATTCCTTCATTCACTTCTGCAACGGTTATTTCTACTTTCCTCTCGGCGATTGTCTCTTCCGTTATATACTCTTTTGGGCCCTTTCTGGAACTTTCTCGAGCTATCCGGAAAAGTTTCGTTTTCTTCGAACTGGTTCATTGCTTTCTCGGAACTTTTAAAACTAGATACAGAGGGGTGAGACCAATGATTAGTAGGTTATTTGGCCGTAGGCTATTGTAGTGGACTACGAATAACATCTGTAAGTTCTAATTAGATGTTGTAAAGAAATTAGAAATTTTGTCAGTTAATTATTGGATAAATTCTAAAAAACCGTCAAAAATTTCCATTTTTGTATATCGGTTGTTTATTGCAAAAATGACTTTTTAATTACATTGAAATGAAGGTTTTTAAATTTGGAATCAAACAAGTTTTTGTAGGCGTAATGAAAAAATTCGTTTTTAACCCCTTATTTATTGCTGTAAAGGAGGGGGTCATTTTTCTTTATAAACAATTAGAGCTGGAGCAACCACTACATAACTAATTTTTAACCGAGGAATATGAAAAGGTGGCTTGGAAACAAATCTTGCCTTCTAGATCTGAAAATCTGGTTTTTGCCAACTTTGGACCTCCGTCATTTTGTTAATGCACACTTTTTCGAAGTTTAAAAATATACAGGAATGTTTAACTTTCCCCACCTACAACAAAGAACAACTCCCATATGTTAACAAATTTAATCGGGAAAATTAATATATAACTTTTGTTGTCGTGTGTGACTGGTTTTGCTGGACCACATAGGTCTGAATGTATCAATTCAATAATTCTGGATGTCTGCTTACATTCCTTATTATTAAATAGAAATCTTGTTTGTCTCCCTCTTTTGAATGACTCACAGAATTTCTTCATTTGGAAATTCACATTTTATTAATCCTCTTTTCTTGAGTTCTAATAGTTTCTCGGAAGAAACATGACCAAGTCTTTTGTGTCACATTTGATCACATTGAGGAATTGTATATGCTTTTTGAGCAGAAACTAATAACTGACCTAACCCAACCTAACCGAACATTCCTTGAAATTCCTTTTAGGTATGCTCCATACTTTCCGTAAGACCACAGTTGCCGTTTTTTTTTCTTATTTGCTCTTCGTTTCCATTTTCCCGTTGTACTTCTGTATGAAGTAGTTGTACATTTTTACTTCTTAAATTTCCTTTTCTTCCCATGTAAATATTATATTTTTCGTTCTTCCACCACCTTTTCCGCCTCTCATTATCTTCGATTTATCCGAGGTTATCTCTAGGCCTCTTTCTGCGATGTATCTTCCCATTTTTCTCAAAATTTCTGTCATTCCCTCTTCATTGTTCGCTATCAATACTATATCATCCGCGTAAGACACTGTCCATACTTTCTTCTTTCCTATTACTACTCCTCCCATTTGAATTTTCGTATTGTATCTTATGATTGTATTTTCTAGATTCGCAAAAGATAGGTTGAAAAGAGCTGTACGTAAGGGACATCCTTGTATCACCTCATTAATCGTGCTAATTTTTTCAGAAATTTCTTCATTGATTCTCACTTTAAATATTGTTGCTTCATATATTTCTTCTACTATTTTCCTTAACTTCATATTTATTCCTTTTTATAATATTATACTCCATATTTTCTTTCTGTTTATCCAGTCAAAGGCTGCCTTCATATCAGCAAAGAATAGAAAGATTTGTCCTTCTTTAATGACCGTCTTTACCATGTATATTGCATCTAGTGTCCTTCTCCCTTTTCTGTAACCTATTCGTGTATTGTAATGTTCGTGGGTTTAACAAAATTAACTTCTTAGACTGATAACGATAAAAACCCTTTATTGACACCAATTATTAAAGAACTTAAAAACATTATTAAATTATTACTAAACTTAGGTCATGAATTATTCTATTTATTTACACTACTGTTGATATATCACTATTCACTGCGCTATTTATTCCACTGCTATCACTGTCAATTTATTTCTGGATTCACTTCTGCAACGGTCAATTTATTTCTTCTTTTTCGGCGATCGTCTCTTCCTTTAAATATTCTTTTATTTACTTTCTCGGGCCACACATATTTACAAATATGGCTCACAGGAAGAAAGGCGCCCGCGGCTAGTCGGCGAATCAATAAGCCGTTCACGCACACGCCGTTCACATCCTCGCTACTCTGCCCCCTCCTTAAGGATGTTTCGTCCCGAAACATTTTCATTTTCCGTTTCGCAGGATCATGCCGGAATATGCAGTTCTCGCCTTCACGACATCCGCTCCGGGAATAGAAGTAACAGTCCACGGTCTTCTCATGATTGGTCCGATTCGGGTTATTACAGTACGGCGGAACAGGATTTCGATCATGTTCCGTACGATCCTCCAATCTAGTTTGTCCAGTCCACAACCAAGCTTCGGAATCGCCAGCTTCTGTAGATTATTCTCCAGAAGATGTCCGCGGAGTTCCATTACTGCGCCCCAAAGGTCTCTATAAGTTGGTTTATAAGAGCATCTTTCTTTAGTTACTAGGTAATAGATATTGCGTCGTCCGTCAGGCAAGCACAACAGTGTTTTTTCCTTCTGTACTTGGTCTTCAAGATGTTCCAAACCGCCAAATCTGCGTTTGAACTGGGACGCGATACCACGACCTTTGAGATCCTTTGAAACGCAATGGGCCAGAGAATATTCCTTGGATATAGCAAAGAGGTCTCGTCGGATATCTTGCATCACTCCAAATCTCCTGTTAACATGGGGGCCTTCCTTCATGAACTCTTCGAATGTGGGCCCGGAAGGAGTTGTTGGTTAATAATCTGGCCCACGACTCCTCTTCATTTGCACCGGCGAATGGAGCCAAGCGATTAAAATGGACTACTTTCGGCTTCCCATTTGGAGTTTTCTTAATTCGTTAGATCACGTCGTTAATCCTCTTCACTATCTCATAGGGTCCTTCCCAATTCTGTTAGAACTTAGGTGATAGCCCACGGCGACGACGAGGATTATACAACTAAACAAGATCTCCAGTTTGGTAACCACCTGCTGTAGCCTTGATGTCGTAGTTTTCCTTAATCCTGTCACAAGCAATCTGTGCATGCAGACGAACCGACTCGTGGATATCGTTAAGCTTTCTTCGGAGGTTCGTAATATAATCTGTTCAAAGACTTTTACAACAAGTATAGTTAGATATAAAATTTTATTTTAGTTTGCAAATTTATCACTTTTAATTCTAAGTTACTCATAGTCATGTTTGACCATTTGGGTCATTTTACAATTCAATTGGCAACCCTCATCTGGCTTTCCCAAATTAAGGTAGTTTCAGTCGTCTCACTCGCTATATCTATTATGTTACAAATACATTATATATTCATCAGTGAATTATGTACCTACTTTCTAGCTATTTACTTCCACATTTATATAAACAGTTAATTCAGGCAAAAAGGCAGTCAGTCAGCTGAAATCATTCATCACATTTTCAACCCAATCAAGTCCTTATACATTTTTTCAGTTTAGTATTTTCATTTTATATATTTATTCGTTCAATTAGTTTAGTTTATTGTTAGTTAGTTTCACGATAGTTTTACATTGTACTTATTTTGTAAATATTCCGTTTTTGCGTTAATGAATTAAATTTGTTAAAACCATTAAGAGTTTATTCATTAAAAAATGTGGTACAGCAGTACACGAGGAAAAGCATTACAATCGATGTTTGCTTTTTCTACAATCTTCTCCAGCCAAATCATCTGGTTTACAGCCGAATTTGAGGTCACAAGGTACTCGTAACTCCCTTCCAAAAAGGACACTGGCAGGTGTTTGACCAGTCGTTTCGTGGACAGATGAACGGTATGCCATTAAAAATAAAGGCAAATAGGGATCCCAGTCCCT